GTTAAGGTTTCGGGTTTAGGGGTCTAGGGTTTAGGGTTTAGGGTTTCGGGTGTAGGATTTAGGGTTTAGGGTTTAGGGCTTACTCTAAGGGATTTGAACCCCAGTAGAAATTAGAATATTAGCTAAATATTAGGATTGTTGGTAACAGAAATCAACAATTATTTTCAGGAACCTTGCAGCTTAGGGTTTAGGAGTTAGGGTTTAGGGTGTAGGATTTAGGGTTTAGGGTTTAGGGTTAGGTTCTGGCATAAGATCTGGGGTGTGGGCGTTAGCTCAGAATCTACCATTGTGAGTGAAAGCTCAGAGTTTATCAGCACAGTGGGTGATTGGGAGATTGGTAGGGGCCGTGGACGTGTAAGTGCATGGAATGATGTGGATTTGGTGTTTTGTGGGGTGTATTGGACTGGCTGTGGTCTTGGTATATGGAGATTGACATAGATTCCGCAGTTAAACCCTATACCCTAAGCCCCAAATTTTGAGTAAATCCTAAACCCTTTAGGTCCTAAACCCTAAAGCGCACCGTAGTGCTTGTTCTGGGTTTCCTCAAGACGGGCAGCGCCCATGTTGCTCTTGGTACCTAAGGAAGTTTTAGACCTGAAGTGTCAAGAAAAAGCGACCGAAGCCAGGAATAAGATTGCTGAAGCTTTGTATCACAAACACATTGGCATCTTCACATATACTAGATCCCATAAACATTGGTCCAGAAATTCAACACGACGAGCTCCGAACGCACCCTGCACCCTATCAAGGCAACCCCAAACTCCCACCGCGCAGCTTCGGAAGAGTTAGGGATCCCTCCTGGAAAGTGGCATGGATGAGGGTTCCCAAAGATCTTTGGCCGCTTCTTGGGGTGCCCTTCTACTAGGGATTCGGGTATTTGGCTGTAAAGATGGAGATCCCCCTTAATCGAAAACCTCTGGCTGTATGAACTGGGAACCACCCCTGTCCCGCCTTGATGCCAACTGTCTACCCCTAAGGAGAGAAGCCATGGTCTTCGGGGACCTCGGACGACGTGAACTTTGCACAAGGCTATCTGGTACTTAGATGGGACTGAATTGATGAATCCCTAAAGCAATCCCTCTAGAATCTCCAAGCATAGTCAATCCCTAAGGGGCCCAAATACTATATTATTAATGGTATTTGGGTCCTTGGACCCTCAGGGAATGTAATTTTGTCCGTAGAAACCCTATGGCTGGGAGGGCCAGATTCGTGGCTCTTAGCAACCACTGGAAGTCACCCATCTCCCACCAGTGCTGCCCCACAACCTCAAAGGTGAGAAACAGAAGGAGAACAGTTATTCCTTGTTGGTGCGGAGCAACTGCATTCTTAGCATAGATGTAAGTTTAATCTGCACCTTCCCTGCCATGCATGCATCAATTCTGAAGGCTGCTTCTTTGCAGCGCCTCGCAGACAAAAGTCACCAAGAGTCTCATCTAAGTCTCAGACCTGTTTGTGGAAACAGATGTGCACCAGCGAAACTGCTACGTGCATTCGAGCCAAGAAAAATCATGTTGAAGCGCAGGCGTGCTTTATGACGACTCTTCAACACTACTAGTCTGGGCTGCTGCTAAGGGGCTTGCAAACACACTATAAGTAAACAACATCCCCTACTACAGGTCCATATGCTGATAACTTAACTTTAATTCGTTAACGGCCATCCGGTAGTAACCGGGCTAAGCTGGCCCTCATTCCAGCGAGGCTAGAGCACCTTGTTAAAGCTGGGGCCGCCTAGTCTTCATCAAGCCTGCCGGCAATTGCAACGGTACAGCAAAGGCTAGCAATCAGGGCTTCAGCCCCCTTCCCACACCCCCTCACCAGAACGAATGACTTGCCTTACTTTCCTAAAAAATATGATACTTTCATTTTCTTTTCCATTATGAAAACCCTAAGCCTTACATGAACCCTGAACAATACAGCAGTTTCCATTTTCTTTTCCTCTATTTAGAATCCTAAACCCTACATCGACCCTAAATACCGTAGAAGTTCCCACTCTCTTTTCCATTATGAAAAACCTATAGACCCTCAACCCTAAACCCTAAACCCTATGCAACCCTAAAACCCCCCTAGAGGCCCCGAGGACAGCTGCGAAAGCCTCTGCGGAGCCCATGAAGGCCATGACTCCCGCCAGAGCAGCCAAAGGAGCCTTCACCTCCAGCATGGCATACCTGAGATTTTAGGGTTAAGGGGCTAAGGTTTAGAGCTTAGGGTCTAGGGCTTAGGGTTTAGGGTTTACGTCTTAGGGTTTAGGGCTTCGGGTTTAGGGTTTAGGTCTTCGGGTTTAGGGCTTAGGGTTTAGGGTTTTAGGTTTAGGGTTTTGGGTTGAAGGTGTTTGGGGTTGGTTCAACGGGTTTTATAAGGATTATATCATATCGGAATTATGGGGGGATATATATATATATACATATATATGTAGGGTTTAGGGTTTGGGGCTTTAGGGTAGGGATGTGAGAGTTTAGCCTTCCACCCCCCCCCCCCAACAGCGCCAACCTGGTGTTACACGTGAAATTGAAACATTGGGTTGGGGGTACCCTTGGGAGTAATACATTGCACGGATTGAACGTAGATTCCTCTCGAGAACTCTCATACCCAACACTGGGGAAGAAAGTATGACCGCAATTTCTAAATAGTATGCTTCTGATCTTCTCCTCAAATGCGCAGTATGTTTTAAGCTGGATGCTTCTTGGTACTTAAGCGACATACGAGATGTTGAGCAAAATTTTTGAAAACATCCATATAGGGCGGATCAGGCTAAGTGACTAGAAAATTGACAAGCAAAGGCCAACGATTCGGTGCTTACTGAAGCTTTTTGCTCGTGGTTCTCTGGGCTCACTCGGGTATACTGCAGTGGCCTTGGGAACTAGATCGCCTGGGGCCGTGACCCAAGAATGTAGTAGCTCATGCCAAGCATCAGCTGGTTGATGCCAACGCTCCTGTTTCAAGGGGTTGAGGCTGAGGGTTTGGGGGTGTTTTTGGTGTACTGTAGTTAGGGGTCTAAACAACTACTAATACAATTTTGAAGTCTATTCGAGTAGCCTATATTAGATGACAATTATGGAAGGAATCTACGACCATAATATTGGTACTTTGAGCACATATCGTCTAGATGCGGGAAGCCATTGGCCTTCGCAGAAGTCAAACATGTCCCTCAAAGTTAGGGTTTCCCGGACTCTTGCCGGCAGGTTCAAGGTTTTTGGGTTTAGGGTAGAAAGGGGGAGCTGCGACATGTCAAAGGTTCACTGCTAGTCTTTATAGGCCTTGTCTCTAACTTTTTAAAACATGATCCCTAAATCTTTCCTCAAGGACCCAAGGACTCGAATGATAGGGCTTCAGGCCCGAAATACCATTGAGACTATGGCATTCTCATAACTAACACCATCACATTTCAGTCCTTGGACCCTTAGGGTTGATTTCAAAACCCCAAACCCCAACAACCCAACCCTACACGCCAGACCCTAACCCTAAAGGTCTAAGTACCCAATATCTCGGTACTTAGGGTTTGGGGTAATAGCAATTATAGTACAGGCTTTGGGTAAGTATATGATTATTGGGTACTTGGACCCTTAGGGTGATACCACCATTGAATACTGAGCCAGCGGCATGGACACTCGCGCAAAGGCATCGTAAGTCTGCCAGTAGACGGCAGCCTCAACATGTTCCAAGGCTTTTGATGCAAGGGCTCTCTCGAAATGAGGGGGGGGTACCCTACTTCGAGGTTCATGGGACTTAGTAATTACTTCTACCTGGGCTGTAACCCCAGTCATGATTAGGATAACCTATACAAGGCCAGTCCGGGGAAATACAGCTAGGGCTATAAACCCAGACATACGTTTTTACGAAGTTCCATGATCCAGCAGACTGGCACCCTAGGCCTGAGGTTGACAAATTCCAGTACTCCTTCACTCACGCATCTTTACCTCCTGCAAAGGAACAACATGCCAAGTTGGCAACCCTAAGCCCTAAACTCTACACAGCTTCAGGATCTGGGGTAAATAGTAATAGTAATAATAGTAGTAATAATAACCGTAATAACAGTACTAATAATACTAATAAACGAAGTTTCTTTTAGCTGAACTTGTCCAATCTGCCAGGAGCATCATGGGTTCCCCCTTCACCCCACAACAAGTAACGCCTCAACCATGAAACCAACAAAACGCATCGTTCAAAACTCTTCGTCCCATTTTGGCACGTTATCCTAATCCCACACATGGCAGATTCCATACATAGGGCTCCTCATGATATACCCTCTATACCAGAGTCCTCATAGCATGTACCGCCAAAAGGGGAAACCCTAAACCCTAAACCCTAAAGCCAAAAGGGGGGCCCTGGTTCTTTTCATCTTCCGATAATCTGCCTGGCGCAGCAGCTTCACGTGCCGCAACTGGGCAACCTAGCATAGGGCTGCAAAGAAAAGAGTAGGGTTTAGGGATTGGGGATTAGGGTTTAGGGATTAGGGTATTGGGTTTAGCATAGGCATAGGACATCTGCCCCTTGAGCAGTTCGAAGAAAAGGCCATCTGCCTCCCCATGAGGTTCACTGCCATCTCTAGCAAGGCAGAGTCACTCACTTCGTACCCCCCCCAAACCCCAAACCCTGGTGCTGATTTTGTGCTACGTCATGGTACCTTCTTTAACTCATTCCCAGCGAAAAAATGCACGAACAATCATTCCTAAGGCTTAGGTAAACACGGCTAGAGAACCTTGCCCATCAAACATAGGATGCCCGTGTAGCCCGCAAAGCCGCAGCCTACAACAGGCTCGCAGAAAAAAAACTCCTGCAGAATTCCCATCAGTTTTGGGCACTACCTACAGAGGTTTTTGGGAACTGTCCATATAATTAACCCTGGAAACATAGGATACTGCACCGGCAGCGCAGTACTGTAGGGCCCTAGACAATTATATGCCAGCATCGTCTTGAGTCATACTTGAGACAAAGTATACCTACTATATTTTTACGAAGGAATTAGGGCATAAGTACTTAAGGCTTAGGGGACCCTAAGCCCTAAACCCTACATTAGCCATCTCGGGGCCTCCGCCCCGCTGTAGCAACCCAGCTCGTAGACTCCATCGCCTCACCAGGGCGCTTAGATGGCTAAGTATAAGGTTTATATGAGCCATAGTCTAAACTCCTAGTATCCCCCTTAATAACGCCTATAGTAGTCCCTATATAATCCCCTATGTAACCCCCCCTGAAGGAGTTTAGACTACAGTTTATAAAGGTTTCACATAGGGATAAACAGGGCGTAATACTGGGTGACAAAGGGATGTGTAGATTTTTGGGTCTAACGGCCTAACTCACAACAATTACAACGTTGCATCATGAAATGGAATACAAGCATGCAAAGAATGCCGTTCTGATAAGATGAGCTGTTTCAAAGGTCAGGGACTCTTGTGGAGTCCTCTTTGTGTACCCTACCGTCAGCTGTCTTGGCTGTTCGGACTGAAGACACAAAAGCCGGCAGCTTGTGATACCTTTGGAAGATCTTCCGGATTGGGGTTTGCGTCCTCATCGCCAAACACCACACCCCCAAGCTCACACCCCCGAGCCAAAACATTGCGACCCTCCTGCACCTATGAGGAAACCTGCGCCTACAATGCATGTGTATGGTCTCGTTCTAGGCCTTTTGATCCAGTAAGACCTGAATCCTGCATTTCTAAAATCTCACAGAAAGAGAGGCTGAGGTTGGAACCACGCTGCTCAAGACCCCAGGGATCTGTGGCCACTGCTTGGTCCACCTTTTCTTGTCTTGGGGTTGGGGTTGACAGGCTCGGATTTGAGGAAGTGTATAGGCTTCAGGTCCAGAGTTTGACCCGCATTGGGACGGGGTTCGAACAGCAGATGACTCCAGTTCTTGGTTTGGATGAGGGGTTGCCAGAGTTTGCGGGTTGGTGTTAGGGGGTTGGACTGCGAAGTGATAGGGTTTTGCATGAAGGCCAGTATCTTATGCCACTCGTTTCAGCATCTGGCACGCTTGAATAATTGTTGTCGTCCCTTTTTGGGTGCATCCTCATACGGGGCATGGTTTTGGGAGGCTTTCCGCGAGCAAGCTCCTAGCATGGCGCGTGTCATGCCCTGCTGAGACAGCTGGTGACTCAGTTGTGGACCTGCAACTGTTTGAAGCAAACGCTTACCCCTTGCAAATCTTACTGGGGGTGCGTGGGGAATAAGGGAATATAGTGTAAAGGGATTACAGAGGGATTCTGTTCCTTTGATCCCTTCTACGAACCGACCAGCTCGTTCAACCTGCGTTGCGCTCATACTGCTGCTAGACAGCGCATACAGACATCGTGTCATCTCCAGCGAGACACTGTACAACACTTGGCCACCTCAAATTTCGGAAATCTGGAGAAGCCTAGACTACGAACCTTTAAGCCCTAGAAGCCCTTCAGCAAAAATTTGAACGCACAACCCTATCGACCCTGAAGCCCAGAACAATGTGTAAGCCCTACGTAGAGTCTCATGGGTCTTAGGATGTATTTCAACACTGGGATATAGCCCTTATACTCCATCAGCGGACCTTACACTTACACAACCTAGATAGATGTAGAGGTATCCACATTGGTTATAACTAGCTACATAGTCCCGTGAAGCGCCCAGTCAACCAAAACACCATAAACCCATCCCAAACTCTGAAAACCCTACTAAAGACCCTTAACCTCAAAGCCTTGCAGCCTTAAATTCCACAAACCCTACAGACCGTTGACCCTAAACCCTGTTGACCCTACAACCCCCCGAACCTTCATGCAAACCTCAAACTTCTGTAGTGGCTTCCATGTTCTTTTCCATGCCCCCATTTACCCCCCATATAGCCCTACATACCCTATGCATACTACGAACCCTACATAGCCCCGTATAACTCTCTGTCTAAGCCTATATGACCCTGGACTAGAGTTCTAATATATCCGTTAATAGGTCTCCCTGTACCCCTTAGTTATATATCCCCCTGCAGGTCCTCCCCAACCTAACTTTAGTCCCTAGCTCGCATGAGCCTAACACACCCTAAGCCCTTAACCCTAAACCCTACGAAAACCTTAAACATCAATTGAACTCTAAACCCTAAACCCTAAGCCTTAAACCCTAAACCCTAAACCCCTTAACCTTACACCCCAAAACCCTAAACCCTAAGCCCCTTAACCTTACACCCCAAAACCCTAAACCCTAAACCCTAAATCCTAAACCCTAAACCTCAAACCTGGCCTGCTCAGCCCCGCCGGTGGCACCCGACTCTTCAGGGCTGAAAGTTTCATCACCCGGGGAGGCTGTGTGTCCTTTCCGCGGGGTTTAGGGTTTAAGGGTTTAGGGTTTAAGGGTTTAGGGTTTAAGGTTTAGGGTTTGGGGTTTAGGGTTTAAGGTTGAGGGTTTAGATTTAGGGTTTAGGGTTTAGATTTAGGGTTTAGGGTTTAGGTTTAGGGTTTAGGTTTAGGGTTTAGGGATAGAAGGGCTTAAGATTTGGAATCCTCCCTCAATATTTTCTGGGAACTTCTCCAGAACGCGGGGGGCCTTTGGTGGTCCTGCCAATGAAGGCTGTTGTGCTTTTTTGGGTGCTTAGAGGGGGACGCATCTGCTCAGAACTATACATATGGAATCAGCCAGATGTGCAGGCAACTAACCTGTGCGCTAGAAGCATGCTGCTGGGACGTCAAAGCTTTGCGCCATATCAGATCGTAGTTTCTGTTTTCTTGTCTGTGTTCCCTATATCTCCCCTAAATGTCCCCACAATCTCCTCGTTTAAGCCAACATAGTGGGACAACTTGTGGACACTCATGGTCATGAAGCTTACGCAGGATACCGGTCTTCACAGCACTCGCAGTCATCCTTCGCGAAAGGCCCGATAAGATGTGGAGACTACTACTTAGTTCCGTTGCTTCCGAGATGGCATGCAAGCAACTTGTTGACAGCTGCGGAGTCCTGGAACAAAGCTTTCCTGACTGCCAGTGACAAACGGCACTCGGAACATCTGCCTCACTGGCGCCAAGCAAGCAGTTGCCTATCCTTTTGAGATTCCTGTTGACAAATATGTCTTGCACATCTTGTTGATAGCTACGGTACAGCTATACGCATGCAGAGCCATCTTGTTGTTGCGGCTGCCTGTTGCACGCTCGGAAGTCACAGGCACATAGTAGAAAGCTCAAGCATATGATGCGTTGGGAACGCTGAATACAGTAAGTTGAAAGCTCTGATGCAGTGCCGGTGCAAGCACACAACATCAGTACCACCAGCGCCATCGCCAACGCACCACTCACAGAGACGAGGAACATCGTTGTTTCAGCTTTGGGGCGGTGCTTTTTCAAAGGCCTGCAGTTCGCGACTTAGATTCCAGATGTACCTTCACACTGGTGCAAGACAGTTGTCTTTGATTCTTGGATGTGCGTATCCGTTTTGCAGGATCTACTGTAGACTTCATCGCCGGCCTATTGCTTGCCACATAACCCGACCCGAGTCTGAACCCTGAACTAAGGAATGAAAGCGGGATCCTTAAGTATACAAGAAGGGAGCTAGGGATTGTTGGGGTCCTCGAGTACCCTACAATCCGTATAAACCAGTATATGAACCCAGTTTCCAAATCTATCTTTCAGTTGCTCCATTTGACTCTCCAGAACTGCTCTACTACTGTCTACCTCAAGAGCATACCCTCACAATTACGTTAATACTGCTATTGCTAATACTATTACACTTTTATTGCTGTTCTTAACCATTCAATTACTACCCCTAAGCCCTACCCTAAACCCTAAGCCCTAAACCCTAAACCCTAACCCCAAAACCCAAAACCTCCATTGCAGGTGCTGCGGTGAGCCTGGATTCCACTTTCTCAAACTCTGAGCCCGCCGTTCGCGCGGCCTTGCAGCACAGAGAGCAAAAAACACCAACAGAAGCTTTAGGGTTTAGGGTTAGGGTTAGGGTTCAGGGTTTAGGGTTCAGAGTTTAGGGTTTAGGGTTTGGGGTTTAGGGGGTTCCCCAGTAACCCCTTTAAGAGGACCCTGATAGAGTTACCTTTATCCCTTATAGCCTTATAGTTCCCATTGCAGAGGCCCCCCAGCAACTCCTTTAGGGAGGACCCTGATATAGTTACCATTATCTCTGACAATCCCTATTACAGGGTAGGGGGTCACCGCAGGCATACCCTCTAGGTTCCCCCGTAATCCCTTAACAATAAGGGTGCCCTTTTTCCTACCGTTGATAAGGAGACCCAAAAATATAAGGGGGGAGAGGGTGCTTTACTCGAAGTTCCGTGCAACCCTGACACCGCCTGCAGAAAAATCTTCCTCACATAGATAGGAGGCACTGGTTGTAAGAGCCATGTTATGCGCAGTTTTTCATCGTTGCAACTTGCACCTCTAAGACCTTTGACAACTCATTCGCATCCTCAAAACCCCCACGCTTAACTCTACAGAATAGGTAGCTGACATTCAAATGGAGAGCTCAAGAAAGTCTTGAGAATGTCCACTGCAACCTCATAAGGCCCAGTATAACTCCAGAGGTTTCCCGAAGGGCCGTTTACAGCTTCCAATACCCACACCCTAAACCCTAAGCCAGTAAAATGAGGCCTCAAGCTCCTTCCACGTTGGGATCGGCAGCCTCACCTGTGCTGAACACTAAAGGGTACTACTATTATTACTTTTACTATCATTACCGCTGTTACTCTTGTTAATATCATTCTTATTCTTACTTTTACTATAACTTTTACTATTCTGCTTACTATCGTTACTAGCATTCAGGACTGGAGATTTGAGGCAGGCATGTTCTTCTGAGTGTGTCTGGAATGTCAATGTTGTGTTTCAGGCGGGCGTCAGTGCATGGTCCGCAAGACTTGGAAATGCAGAACTCAAGCCTTTCCAGGGGTCATCATACTGTGTCACCAACATGAGACCCAAATTTGTATGGCACTTGTTGAGCTTAAAACGAGAGACCCCAAGATGTCGAGAGTTAAACAACCCTGAGGGTCCAAGGACCCAAATAATGGGGTTATAGGGCCCAGATACCTTTAATATTGCAGTATCTGGCCCTAAAGCCCTATTATTTGGGTCCTAGGACCCTTAAATAGTCCCCACATATCCCTAAACATCCCCCTATAACCCGGGTCCTTGGACCCTTAGGGCAAGGGTCATGACCAGACAGCAGGTTCTACGAAAGCTTTTGCAGCGATTCATCGAAAGGGATTCTAACTCATCGTTCACTCAAAATTTGCGAGCTCCATCATAGTACCAGCTATAGTCCCCCTTAAGCAGGTAGAATATGGCCTGGGGGTATATTAGTATAATAAGATCCCCATATACGCCACATTCTATCTACTTAAGGGGACTATAACCCTAAACCCTAAACCCTAAATAGTAGTTTCCATTTTCTTTTCCATTATCCCAATATAAACCCCTAAACCCTAAACTCTATACTAGGTTCCGTTTCTTTTCCTAAGATCCCCATATACCCCATATTTTATCTACTGAAGGGGGACCATACACTAGCCCCCAATCTGAAGTTGTAGATTCGTGCCGCGGCCTTCTCGCTGGACTCCACGCGAGATCTACTCTCAACGTATATGGTGAACACTACGTGGGAGCGCGTTGACCTGAAGCTGCTTCCAAGCGTGTTTGTTGTGGGTTTCGGGTTTGAGGCTTAGGGTCCATGATTTATGAAGTGGCTAGGGTGTAAGAAATAGGGTGTGTAGCGCTTATGGGGTGGAACTCCTAGATGCTCCAGGGATTTTAGCCTTAAGGTGATAAGACAGGTCGCCTTTACGTATGTTCCCAAAGTCCAAACGAATGAATGCACGACCCCATGTTTGAAGCATCCCGGCCTAGGGAGTCCTAAATGACCTGCACTGGAGACCTAGGGTTTGGGCTTAGGGCGTTATATCATCCCCCTAAAATGGAAAATAAAATGCAACATGAATTGGATACAGGGGTTTGGGGTTTAGGGTGTAGGGTTTAGGGTTTTGAAAGCACGCGTAGGCAGTGAAAGGCTTGCGTTCAATACTTGGGCTCTCAGGGTAGTGGTAGACAGTTTGTCACCACACCTCTTTGGCATTTGGCCCCTTGTCGGTTTATGCGAGTCTCCTTCAACCCTTTTTTCTGCAGGCGCCTGTGCGACTTAGACCGTGGTTAGGCGGATACTGACATGTTGCTTGATGGTCCTCACAAGTGCTGAGAGTAGGGGTGAAATGGAGATAGACACTTTTGACCGGGACGCCTAGACTTGTGGAGCGGACTCTAAGGACCAAAGGTAACAAGTACCCCAACAAAAATCGAAATGTACTACACCTCTAGGTAAATACCAAAACATAAGTAGGCATATTCGAAAATCCTGACGTTGCCTATCATAATGGTAAGCAGGCAGGGCTACAGTCCAGAGGGCATAATAACCTGGACACATGTTGAGTGCTTCCATCTCCAGAATCTTAATCTCTAAGCTCAAAACCCTCGGCTCTGAATTCGAAGGCCTAATGAATTCCAAACGCTAAGTTCTGAATTCTAAGCCCTAAGTCCTGCACTCTAAGCCCTGCATCCTAGATCCGAAGGCCCTGGCCCCTTGTTGAGGGCATGCTCCGCAACGTGACGGTTCGTGTCGCCCTGGAAGAAGATGTGCAAGGCCTCGTCTTCGCCATGTTTAGTAGGGTTTAGGGTTTAGAGTTTAGGGTTTAGAGTTTAGGGTTTAAGGTTTAAGGATTTGGACTTGGGGTTCAGGGCTCAGGTTTCGTACTTGGGGGGTTCCAGAAATGGGGAGCTCGATTGTATATAGCTCCATCAACTTGGATTCTTGCTGTAGGGACTTAAACCCCAAACCCTAAAATCTAAACCCTAAACCCTATATAACCCCTAGTATAGCAGTTTCCATTTTTCGCATCATCCCAATATAACCCTAAGCCCTAAACCCTAAACCCTAATCCCTAAACCCTAATCCCTAAACCCTAAACCCTAATCCCTAAACCATCCTAAACCCCAAACCCCAAGCCCCTCATTTTTGAAAGCCCCCCAGGTTTAGTATCTCGAGGTTTGGGCTCAGGGTTGAAGCTTCAAAGTTTGGGGAAGGTCTAGAGTTTAAGGGTTTGATGGCTTAGGATTTTAGGGTTTAGGGTTTCAGGTTTAGGGTTTAGTGGTGCTTGTATTTTCCCAAACCACTGTTCCCGAAATGCGGAAATCCACGCCCATTCGACGAATGAAATTGACCGAAACCTTCAGCATTGTAGCACATCTGCAATCTGGCGCTTGGAACCTTAACTCTAATATCAGGAAGCCAAGGGGTTGCCATTCTGCATACGGCGCTGTTTGCTTCGGATATCGCTTCTCTGTCAAAGAATTATAGTGCAGGTTTTGGATAGCTATCTGACTATTATTTGCTTAGACCCTTAGGTAAATTCCCTGTCCCCAATGCATTCCTCCGAATCGTAAAGCCGTGAAACCTCCATGGTGCAAAGCGTGGCCCCACCTTCTTTTGGCACAAGCCACATGCATACTACAGGGGCCTAAATAATTACTAATATCATTTTGAGGTCCATCTTAGGTACCATAGACCATAATTATATAAGGAATAATGGAATCACAATATTGGTAATTATTTAGGCCCCATAATTACCCGAAACAAAGGAGCCAGCTTCAAAGGAATGACCAAATGTCAAGCTTGTCAAGGCCTCACCCTTCAGACAATAATTCGGATGACCCAGTGACTTAGGTACTTGGACCCTTGGAGAATTTTTGTACATGTGCATAATTACCCCTCAAAGCATCCCAAAATAACGAGCAGAGGGAAGAGGCGTCCCCTACATATACTCTCAAGTCAAATTTTACCCCCCCATGATAAGTCGTCGCTGAGGAAATACGTAATATTGCGAAACCACGACGTCGTCGTCGCAGAAGCTCCAACCGGAAGCCCTAAGCCCGACGCCCTCAACCCTACAAGCTCCCTAACCCCCAAAACCCCCCAACCCCAAAACCCTAATCCTAAACCCTAAATCCTAATTCCTGAACCCTAAATCCTGAACACCCCAGTCAAAACACCTCTTCTTCAGTGCCACCCACAGGAGTCGAAAGCCCTCGAACCTGCCAGCCGCTGTGTCCCACAGACATTTTTGGGAGGGATACATAATCTAGGGTTTAATTCTTGTATCAGACCTTTTCCGCCTAGGGGGTTTAGGGTTCAGGGTTTCCGTGTAGGGTATGCGGAATTCGCGGTATACGGGGCTTGGGCTTAAGATTCGGCTTTAGGCTTAGTCTCTAGGGTATAGGCCTTGGGTTTAGGGATACTTGGAGGTTCATGGCAAGCCAAGTACGTAAAACTGAGGTTGTAGCTCTACTACAATCAGAAAAACCCAACAAAAGCCGGGTAGGCTTTGGAATAAGAAGTAAGGGCATAGACATCAAAAACACGGAACAAGTCTTACCACCATGAGATTCCCAGACAAAAATCGTGCTGCAGGAATCAGGTTCTCACCTGGCTTTCTGGAAGCAACAAAGCCAGCCCGTTGTCAGGAAACTTCTGGGTTCGACCGGGCAGGAAAGAACTTTGTAAACGGAGAGCGGCTATTCCCATCTCAGAGGGTCCAAAGTACCTAAGATTTGAGCCAGCTTGGGACGGATACATAACCATATATGGTTAGGTACTGGGACCCTGCGAGCGAGCTCGCTTCGAAGCGGTTTAGGGTTTAGCGCCTCGGGCTTAGGGTTGAGCAGAACTTAGCACATAGTACAATCCTTCTAGCAAGTGCACGCCATCAAGACTATAAGAAGCAGGAAGCAGCAGCATCCTCGATGCTCAATGCTTTTGAAGTTGTCTCTTGTTCTACTTGGCAATAGCCGACATAACCCAAGCAAATCCGTTGACAAGCTTGTCCCATCGGGATGCTACATTGTGATCGCTTTGGAGGACCTCTGAAAGTGGCGTCTTCAACGACCTCCATGGCTACACCTACACGCAATGAGGAAGACCCCCCCATGCTGTTGGGCTCAAATTCCCCTGGGGAAATTGAGCCCCTCCTCTGGGACCTGGGCTCCTCAAAAAGCATCGTGCCTATCAGTAGTATGTCCATCATTACAGTACTGCTCTCTCACTGCAAGTTCTTACAAAACTAAGCAATACTATCCCTACGGCTCTGACTCTGTTCAAGCTGTGCTTGCATGGATTGCGGCTCCAGCCGCCAGAAGTCAGCTCCAAACTCAATAGATTTTCTTCTAGGGTGAAATAAAGACGGATCCCTTTCCCAGAGGGTCCATGATTTATGTACCCAATAATTAGGTACTTGGGCTTTGGGTAATAGGTAATTATAGTACTGGTTTTGGGTAAGTATATGATTATTGGGTACTTGGACCCTTAGGGTCTGTACTTGCATGACCATAGTAAACTTGAACACCCAAAGCATTGAAGCCTCAGACGCACCCGCCTGGATGTTACCACGGACGTCCTCCACGATGGTGAGGTCACCACTCTGATCGGCTACCTTTGACTTGATCACGTGTGGGTGGGTTCATATGACCCTGTAATCAGCCCTACCTAAGATTGTACCATGCTAAGGCTAGATTGGGCGATCCCAATTACTGATTGGCCACTGCAAACTACATGTATCAATGCTTGGCTGACGAAGGCCAATCAACCAAATCGGGTCGCCGGAAGCATTTAGGCGGGAGGTCGCGTTGTGTCCAATGCGTAAACTTTGCGGCATGCACATCGTTACCCATTGTAAGCTTGCCCGCAAGATAAATGCTAGCGCAATGCTAGCGCAGAGCTAGCGCAATGCTAGCACCACAAAATGGGATTTGCTGGATCCTCATAAGGCGCGGCTTCATAGCGAAAACGCAAGCTGAGCCTATGATATAGGGTTCGTGTCAAGACCTAAATTTCGTGTTCCCTCTACTAGACTTTTTTTACAAGCCCTTTTGACCGCTGGCTTCGAGTATGATATGATGAGTAGGGCCATTTCCCAGTTCTTACTACTCTGCATGAACCTTGGGGGGGTTAAGGTAAGGTTCACAAGATCTTGGTGTTGGCAGAAGCTCCTTCTGCAATAGTAAGAGGAACATGGATCGTTCTAGTGGGTCTGCAGAATGTTAATCATAAGGCTTCTTTGGAATCTTTACGGCGATTGCAGGGTGAAACGGCGGCACTCATCGTTGAATTCTGGGATCACGCTAGGGGTTGCAATGCTTGCGGCATCAGTCTTTTGTTGCCGCCACAGGTGTCGAACCCAACCCTGGCGCTAAAGCATGTAGGATAATTGCGTGTTGGGCTGGTTTGTCTTTCTTTTCATACGCTTTTGGGCTATTTTTCTACCCGTTTTGGGGCGGCTTAGGCCCGGCAACCAGTTGGGGAATATGTAGGTCCCAAACTACCCTGAAATATACCCTAAATCCTGAACCCAAAACCCTAAACCCCAATAGGTCCCATTTGTATGCCGTTCTTTCTGCAGCAGAACGGCCCCGACGTCAGTGAGTAGGTCAAACCTGGCTCAGGAATCCCTATTTCATGGCTTTAGGGTATTGTGGGTTTAGGGGTTTAGGGTTTAGGGTTTAGGGGTGTAGGGGTTTAGGGTTTAGGGGTGTAGGGTTTAGGGTTTAGGGTTTAGGGGTTTAGGGTTTAGGGTTTCGGGGTACAGGGTTTCAGGCTAAGGGTTCGCCTACTGATCCCAGTATACTTGGGGTTTAGGCTTTAGGGACTTTAGGTTTTTGGACTTTAGGGTCTTGGGACTTCAGGGTTTAGAGCTTTGGAACTTCGAGGTTTACGGACTTTAGGGTTTTGGGTTTGGGGGCTTAAGGGTGTATGGTTTCGGGACTTTGGGGTTTAGGGGTTAAGGCCCTAGGTTCCATTCTACTCAACCTGAACGAACCCGATTTATAACTCAAGCTTACTTTAGGGGCAACCTTGGGTGGGATGTAGCTTGGGGGGTGGGTGGTAATGGAGAATTCACGATGAAGTGGCTGCCCTAAACCCTAAACCCTAAACCCTAAACCCTGTCTCAAACGGGGCGGCATCCTGAGGACTTTTAGAAATAGAGGCTCTGAGTATAAAGGGATAATATAACACATTCATAGGGTTTAGTAATGATCAAGAATGGGGTACTTTGGGACCCTAGGGATATGTAGAGATTAAGGAGGCTCGACAGCGGTCCCCACTTTATGAATGAGAAACGCATGACCCTCGGAAGATTGTAGAAGGAAGCGGTTGGGGAGCGAATAGGGGTTTCGCAAAATGAGGGGTTCTAAGAGACCCTAAAAGCTTCTGAAGTGTTCAGCGGCCGGATTTTTGGAGAAACTCCCCCGTGAGAGACCCCTAGCTGCCGTGGAGACTTGCTTCTCTCCTTCCTGGAAAATCCAGCAACATTTCCGTGATTAATAAACCCCCTCCCCTTAATAGTTATCATAATGGGGATCCTAAGATAAAGGGCTTTAAAAGGAGGAAGTCTAGTCATCACAGGTCTGCATTACCCTAAACCCTGAACATGGTCATCTTGCATGTTGGCGGAGCCTGACACCCCAAGAAAGTGCCACTACCTGGACCCCCAAAGGTAGGTAGGGTTTAGGGCTTCGGGTTCCAAACCCAGAAATATAGCCTAAAAGGCCATTATTCTGCATACCCTTGGGGGGGTTCAGGTACTGCTTTGCTTGCACAAGCTCCTAGTGCTCCGACACGGTCAACTTCGCCGCCGGTGAAGGTTACCTAAAACGTTTATAAGGGTTTAGGGAAGCATCACCTCTAAAGGGGGATGTATGGGGTTTAGGGAGTTAGGGCTTATAGGGTTTAGTTTAGGATTCAGGGCTTCAAACCTAAGCGCCCTCATGATACAGTCATACTAATTCCATATGTATAGCGTTATAATAAATGTGAAGGTAGTTCCCAAAATTCGGTCCCATCTTAGCACCCCTAGATATTAGGTGCCGTAATATACACACTACAACCCCAACCTGTGGCCCCCGAGCAGTGGATCTGCTTCTAACATCTGGTATAGTGGGTTTAGGGGTTTAGGGTTTAGGGTGGCCGGCACATCGCATGGCACCTTTTGAGGTGATCTTACCAAGCCTCTCTAGACCCCTATACCCACCCCCTTATTTCGGATACCTAACTTTATGTCGCGTATCGTCTTTATACAAAAAACAAGGTACCCTATAAAAGGGTATAGAGTATGTTGATCTAGGTAAATTTAGCAACACACCCTCATAGTTTGTAATCTACACCCCTGACTTGATCGTGAACCTTAGGCCTGAAATCTTAAGCCCAAAACCCATGAGTCGAAGCTCAGCCGACGTGGCGTTGAGAACTCTTACAGTAGGCGGTGAAAGGTTTAGAGTTTAGGGCTTACAAACCATACCCCTTCACCTTCAAGGGTCCCTCAAAGGAGGATACAGGGGAAATTTGGCATACCCCTTCACTTCTCGCAGGGCTTTGCGGCTAGGGCATTTTCAATGCCTCTTAGAGAAAGACAAACCCTAAACCCTAACTAACCCTAAACTCTAAACCCTAAACCCTAAATCCTAAACCCTAAACCCTAAACCCTAAATTCTAAACCCTACAGTACGCGCACACGCGCGAAATGGGCTAGGCGAGCATCAGCTCATTGTATATCTCCACCTCAGATTCAGAGTTTAGAGTTTAGGTTCAGGGTTTGGGGTTTTGGGATTCGCATGTAGAGGTTTAGAGCTTAGGATTTAGGGATTAGGATTTAGGGTTTAGGGTTTATAAGTGTTTGGGGAGTACGGTTCAAGGCTTAACTAGGGATCTTATCTTTCAATACCGATTGCGGCATTCGATTCAAATAGGTGCAGCTGCTGCGGAGCGGCAAGCTTATATGCAATAGTTGAGCTGTGGTCTGAACTCAAGGGGGGTTATATAGGGGATTGTATATGGGATTCTATAGGGGAGTATTCAAGGCTCTTTAGGGGAGACACTAGGAGTTTAGGGGAGATACTAGGCATTTAGCCTATAGCTCATATAGGGTTAGGGTTTAGGCGGGACGTAGGGGCATTACCCAGACTCACATGGAAAAGAATATGCAAGCAGGGCGTATGTAAGGATTTATAAGGATCATGTGGGAAGTTGGCTTAAATTGTTTTCCCATAATGGGGGAAATCTATATAGAGAACCATAGTAACATAGGATACTCACTATAGGCACCCGAAATGTACTGATTTTAGATTACAGCCCATTTGAGCTATAATCTAAACTCCTCGTATTTCCCTTGATCAGTCCTATAATAATCCCCTGTACAAACCCCTATATGGCTCCCTTCAAGGAGTTTAGACTAAAACTCATCTATTTTTCTATACCGTTGGAACTACCCTGCTTTTGGGGCTCCATTGCAAGATTTTCTCCATCCGCGGTAGTGTTGAAGGCGAAAGCTTATACCCCGGAAACAGGGGCAGCACCGCAAGTAAAATTGCAGGGTTTAGGGTCAGGGTGCCTTACCTGGACCCCAAAACTGAGTAAGGCAATGGCCCCAAGCCCAGAAAAGGAGACCATCATTCCACACACTTGTGGGGTTCAGGTGCTGTTGAGAAAGGGAATCTTACGCCACTCAGGGTCCCTAAACAACTGAAAGTCATGGGAACTTTGAGACCAATATTGCAAGCCTTACCAGCTTCCTAGCCTGCACTTGTGGCAATCTTCCGTTTAAAGATGTGAAATCCTTCAGGTTCGGGTGGATGGCGGCTTAGACACGTCACAACCCTAAACCCTAAGGGTTTAGGGTTTAAGGTTTCGGGCTCTTCAAAATCCCCATGCGTTCAGGATTTGGAGATAAGCTGGTTTCGTATTGAGATACGAATTATAGCTATGATCTTGTGTTCCTCCTTGGGCTTTATAGGGTTATGACGACAAACTATTCATTCAACGATGAGCCAGTAAGGGTTTAGAGCGATGCAAAAGGACCGTCAAGGGCCCTAAACCCGAAACCCTAAACCCTGATGGTCTTTCGTCATGGAGGCTGCCCTCCCGCAAACTCATCCCCTCCCTCCCCCTTACATTAAAACCCCGACCCCCCCCCCCATATTCAATACTGCCATTATGTGGTATATTATATAATATATAGGGAGTATTTAATATTGGGGGGGGTGGGGGGGTTCTAATATTAGGGGGAGGGGATTACCAGGGGCCCACCGAAGACTACACGGGGGTTTCCGAAAATTGGTGGCTACCATTTTGGGGGTCCCTATATTGGACAATGCTCATATTTGGGGGGTCTATATTGGGGTCCGCCATTTAGCGAATCTACTCCGCTGAGAACAAGCGTATAAAGGTGCCCCACATGGGGTTGGGGAGGGTAGTGTAGACCCATCATTAAACCCCCTCCTTTTGAGGGCCCTAATGTTTCCCATTATAATCCCTATTAAGGGGAGGGGGTTTATTAATCAGGGGTCTGGGTTAGGCTTAACCTTTTGTGTCTTCCGCACTGCTCTACCCCCCAGCGCCCTCAGACAGCGACATAGAACCTCGGAGGCTCCTAGATCCTAC